CCCTCTTATACACACACACACACACACACAAACACTCACGCGCGCGAAGTGATGATATTTACTACGGCCACACACACACACACACACACACACACACACACACACTAAGTTAGTGTTCTCGTAAATCTAGAGAACCATGTAACGCAGGAATCTGCTTCTACCCCTATCTCGTACGATTTCGTAGTCCAATGTTCTAAAGTGTGCGACACATTCGAGACAGTCAAGGACCTTGCAGCGAAGGGCTGGATCTACATAAGTAAATTTGAAACTTTTTGATTTGCTACAGATCTCAAAGTTGAGAATATCTTCAGGCGTGAACATATTTTTATGTATAAAAACATTATTCTTGCCAAAATAAAAAGCAGTCTCACATACATGTAATTATGAATACCTTCCAAAAACACAAAACATACTTGTAGGATCCATTCGGCAACCCCCCATCATGATTAGCTAAAAATACACGCACAACGATGTCAGTAAGAAATAATAAAGCATCAACAGCATTGCCAAGTGTTTGGGGATAATATTTCTTATCCAAGGCTTATATAACGTGAGTAGTTAGAGGGAGTTCTGGTTTGGGGGGGGGGGGCAATTACAGCGAATTATAGGTGATTTCCAGGTTGAAAACCATACATGGAGGGTCCATGGAAGTGGAACCAAATTGGAAAAAGAATATTAATATTAATTAACCCACATACAGGACAAAAAGGCTATAACAGCACCTGGACATGGATGGCTGGTGCCTCAATTATTGATGGTAGAGGCCGAGGTGCTCTGGTGTGGTTTGCTCCTTCTTTCCTATAAAACATATTTTTTAAAAATACATATATACTTTCCTAATATCTCCTCCTTTTTTGTGTTTGTTACTCTCTTGTTACAGGAACACCTCTAATCTTTGGCTTTTCTATGACTTCATTGTGTTGCATGTGTCGTAAAACTCATACCAAAACAAGAAAACGTAAGGTATTACGTGGAAGGGCAATTGCACTACATTTACTTTTACATTAACAGTCGGAAATTATGTTTTCCCTCTTAACTGATTTCATTAAAAGTCTGGGTGCTTTGACCCTTCTAGTCAGGGTCAGATGGACTGTGGAGTGAAGACCACGTTTCTTTTGATTAACTACATGTGTTTTCTCCACCTGGTGGTTAAAGTCACTACCTCTGCAATTAAAGGGACGAACCTTGAATTACAAAGTTGCCTATCCACGGTTGAATGAGCAGGCATCCGCATACCACGTAGCACGATATATTATTTTATTGCGAAAAGGCAGTGATAGATAGATAGATAGATAGATAGATAGATAGATAGATAGATAGATAGATAGATAGATAGATAGATAGATAGATAGATAGATAGATAGATAGATAGATAGATAGAGACATAAACAGTGTACATACACAGAGAGAGAGAGAGAGAGAGAGAGAGAGAGAGAGAC